ACGTGCGGCCAGAGGTGCAGCAGGGCGTCCCCGCACAGTGTCCCCACGGCCAGCGCCACCAGGAAGGCGAGCAGCGAGCGGAACGAGCGGCGGCTCAGCAGCGGCAGCAGCAGCACGGCCAGGCCGGACGGGAGGCTCACGGCCAGCACGGCCACTAGCCCCCAGGCCAGCGCTGCGGGGAGGGGTCAGGGGAATGGTCAGAGGGGTCAGGGGCATGTCCGACGGGTCAGTGGGCACAGGGAATGGAGACCTGAGAGATGGGGACCCCGGGGATGTGGGAATGGGGACCCCAGGCCGGACGGGAGGCTCATGGCCAGCACGGCCACTAGCCCCCAGGCCAGCGCTGCGGGGAGGGGCAGGGTCAGTGGGCACGGTCAGAGGGGTCAGGGACATGGCCGGAGGGGCAGGGGAATGATCCAAGAGGTCAGGGGCACAGGGAATGGGGTCCCGAGGGATGGGGATCCCAGGGATGGGGGAATGGGGACCCCAGAGGGGACAGGGATGGGGACAAAGGGTCCCACAGAGGGGGCCAGGGGCTCAGGAGGACAGGGATGGGACAGGGACAGGGACATGGAGGGGACATGGAGGGGACATGGATGAGGACAAAGTGTCTGGCAGAGGGGGACCACGGGCTCAGGGGACATGGAAGGGACGGGGATGGGACAGGGATGGGGACAGGAATGGGGACATGGATGGGGACACGGGATCCGGCAGAGGGGACCAGGGGCTCAGCGGACATGGGGCATGGAGGGGACATGGTGGGGACATGGAGGGGACATGGTGGGGACACGGGGACCACCACAGCGATGCAGGACCCATCTGGGGCCACCCAGAACGGGGCTCCAGGGCCGGGGGACCGGGAAGGACCCCCGTGCTGGCGTTACCTGGCCACAGGGCCACCGCCGGGGCTGGCGSTGTCACCTCGTCGCGGTGGCGGATGCACACGCGGCTGTCGATCTGGTAGAGCAGCGCCGGGCACAGCAGCGTGAACTGCTCCGGGGTCAGCGGCGACACCGAGCCCAGGCCGAACGTGCCCAGCAGCTGCGACACGTTGAGACACTGCGGGGACAGACAGGGGACACGGTCAGGGGACAGGGGACACGGTGAGACACTGCGGGGACAGACAGGGGACACGGTCAGGGGACAGGGGACACGGTGAGGGGACTGGGAGAGACCGGGGACCGGGGAGAGGGGGGGACCGGGTGTCGCGGGGGACGGCCGGGACTCCTAGAAGGCGACACCGGAGCGGGACCGCGCCACCCCCGCGTCGCCACTTGTGTCCCCGTGTCCCCACTCGTGTCCCCTCCCGTGTCCCCACTCGTGTCCCTTCACCCCCACTCATGTCCCTGTGTCCCCACTCGTGTCCTCGTGTCCCTGCTCATGTCCCCGTGTCCCCTCCCGTGTTCCCGTGTCCCCAATTATGTCCCCCGTGTTCCCACCCGTGTCCCCGTGTCCCCGTGCTCCGTGTCCCCACTCGTGTCCCCGTGTCCCCGTTCATGTCCCCGTGTTCCACTCACGTTCCCGTGTCCCCTCCCGTGTCCCCACCCGTGTCCCCGTGTCCCCCTGTCCCTCCCGTGTCCCGTTGGTGTCCCCGTGTGGCACTCACGTCGTGGTGCGGGTGTCC